ACCAAACACACACATTAACATCAACTTTATGATGGAGGACAACAGACGAGCTTTTCTTTATAAATCAGATAAAAAACACACTGATAATCGTGTGTGTGTGTGTGTGTGTGTGTGTGTGTGTGTGTGTGTGCCCCAATCTCCTTTCTTGCCACATGGCTGCACTCGCTGATTACCTGATTTGACTGTTTCAACCTCCCTGTTTGCCAATAGGCTTTACACACACACACACACACACACACACACACACACACACACACACCAGCTTACCTTTTATTCAATCATCTCTGCTACGTGTGGGTTTGTAGAATTTTATGCTCTTTCCTGTTGCTGCTGTGTGTGTGTGTGTGTGTGTGTGTGTGTGTGTGTGTGTGTGTGTGTCGGACAGTTAACTACGATGAATGTCAGTTCAGTTCATTTACATAGAAACAGCTTTAATGTCGACAGGCAGCTGTTTTTCTTCTCTTTGTTGTCGTTACAGACAGACATGTTCTGGACCGATCCCGGTTCTGTTCTGGACCGATCCTGGTTTGGTTGAAGCCCGTAACTGTGCAGAACATTAAGCCTGTTCTAGATGCCAGAGTCTGGAACATTCGGATTACTTCCACTTATTAGAGTTGCTGGCGCCGGGCTGCACGCTGAGCACAAGGCATCGTGGGTAATTGAATAAAACCATTAGAGATGAATTATTGAAGCCGTGCGGTTTCATTACGGAGCTAACAGCATGTCAGCTCACATCACAGCAGCCACACCAACCTGGAGCGCTTCATTAGCCACCGTTAGCACTGCTGTGACTCTGATCTGGTTCTGGTCTGGTTCTGGACCAGGTGCTGAATACAGACATGCAGACCATCAGCTGAACTGAACTCTGTGTTCAGATCAGCAGAACCGGGTCCCCTGCGCTCTGATGAGACGCCTGGATGTTCTGCTTCAGACAGAGGAGGTCTCTTCAGGGCAGAGTTCTGGGCGGTTCTGACGCCAGTCCAAGATGGACCAGACTGTTTCTAGTTCAGTGTTTATCAAACGAATGGCTGAAGCTGTTTGGTGCTTATTGTGTGTAATTTAAACTCAGATGTTTGTTGTTGGGGAACTTCATGGAACGTCTTTGATGACTTCACTTTTCTTCATCATGAGTTTCTGAACTGGGACTAAACACACCGTCAAACCTTCACACAGCTGGTCGTTGTGGCAATTCAGTGTCAGAATTCTTTCCAGTCAACTAGTTGAACAACTTAGTTTTACGATTAACCGACTTGAGAACATCAGGACTGTCCAGGAAGCAGTAATCAGTCAGTTCAACCGAAGATGAACCTCCTGCAGCCTGAAGATGTGAAACTGTCGTGTAAAGGTCGTCTCACTCGGATTCACGTTCATCAGAACCATCGTCGTATTTATCAGTAAAACGAACGTCAGAAGCCTGAATATCAACACACAAAGTGACAGAACCACATTCAGAACCCGGGACAGACAGCCGGAGGAGCTCAGGAGTCTGTCAGGCCCACAAAGAGAAGCAGGACAGAGGCGTGATGCGTCTGTGTTTGTTAAAGACACACAAACAGCAGCGTCAGGAGGTGATGTTATCAGCGCCGGAGCAGCCGACCAGAACCACCCTGATGGAAACAACAGCAGCAGCAATCAGCGTTGTGTGTTTGGACAGAGCGATTGTCGTACCTTGGGCAGCCGCTCGGGGTCTCCGGGGTGACGGGGGATGACCTTCTGTAACCTCTGGAAGCCGTAGTCGATGGTGGGCTCGTTCAGCGCTGCAGAGGACGACAGCAGACCTCAGATCAGCTCAAACACAAAACACCACCTTCAGCAACAGTCACACTTCAGATCTGCTGCCAGAACCTTGGTTCCAACCTCTAGAACTCCCCTGTAGAACCTCCTGCAGGCCACTTCTCAGGGGAGAACAAGGGTCCTCCTCTAGAGTAGGAACATCTGAGCAGCTCAATGCTGATTGGTTGAACTCAGAGAGGACAGGTTCTGATTGGTTGAACTCAGAGAGGACAGG